CACAACCCAAGCCACATAGATTCTGTTTTCCCAAGATTGATTTTCAAACCAGAGGAGTATACTAAAATAATCCAACATCTCAAAGAATTCAATACAGGAGTTTTCTGAATGGTGTTTTTGATCTCCTTTTCCACAACCCAAGCCACAGAGCTTCTGTTTTCCCAAGATTGATTTTCAAACCAGGGAGTATACTAAAATAGTCCAACATCTCAAAGAATTCAATTACAGGAGTTTTCTGAATGGTGTTTTTGATCTCCTTTTCCACAACCCAAGCCACATAGATTCTGTTTTCCCAAGATTGATTTTCAAACCAGAGAGTATACTAAAATAATTCAACATCTCAAAGAATTCAATACAGGAGTTTTCTGAATGGTGTTTTTGATCTCCTTTTCCACAACCCAAGCCACATAGATTCTGTTTTCCCAAGATTGATTTTCAAACCAGAGAGTATACTAAAATAATTCAACATCTCCAAGAACTCAATACAGGAGTTTTCATTGCTCACAAAATATGTTAAATCATCTGCGAATGAAGAGTATTCCACTTCAAGGAAATCCCTGAATATTGGGATTACTTCTCATATTAATCCAAAGAAATCCAGAGATATGATGAAACGATAGGGAGACAAAGGGTCACCCCTCGTTTACGAGAGAAACAACCAGTTGTAAACCATTATTCATCACACAAGCATTATTGTAACACACTTTGATCCATGTTTGAAATACAGGTCCAAAATCAAATACATTCAAGCATTCAAGCAAATAATCCCACTCCATCAAAACACCAGGCACTCTATGTTACTCAGTATACCACAGTATTTCCTCTATCAGTCTAACACGGTCACTTATGTCTCTCACCTTGACGAATGCACCCTGAAGGTGGTGTATTATGTGTGATAGAATTGTTTCTAATATTTTATCCAAAGATTTAGAACCTATTTTTGCATTTACATTAATGAGAGATATTGGTCGCCAGTTCTTAATGTATTTATTATCTCTACACTTTTTCTCTATCAGTGAAATAACATTATGTCTCTGAGAATTAGATACTTCATCATTTTTATACCTATAGTTCAAGGCGTCAACCACTAATTCACCCACACGTTGCCAGAAATGTCTATAGAATTCTACAGGTAGTACATCATGACCCGGGGTTTTATTCAGTGCCATATTGTTTAGAGTCATGAACGAGTCATTGAAAGTAATTTCCTTCTCACAGTGGTTCCTCATATTATTAGTTATGACTTTTATCTCAAGGTTCTGAAAAAGGGATGTCTGTTGATGTCCCTTTCTGAGTTGGTGTTAGTTATACAAGTCTGAATAAAAGTATTTAAGTTCTTTTAAAATTTCATTAGAACGAGTTTCCATAGCACCGTCTTTGCCTGTGATTTTAGTAATGTTGGACTTCTTTCCCCTATGTTTTTCTAATCCCAGGAAATACGTTTTCTCACCTTTTTTCATGTCATGTTACTCAGGAACACATTATCGCTCTGTCAGTCCTATATTCTTATTCTAAGTCAAGCTTTAATTCCATTTCATCTAATTTAACATAACTATCATTTGAGGGATTTTGACTGAATTCCTTCTCTAAGTATTCAATTCCTCTTTCTAATTTCTGGATATATTCTTTTTTCTGTTTGGCTTTATCTTTCCCAAAATTTCCCAAAATTTCATAGAAAACTTTTTAATTTCAAAGTTGATTAAGTCCCACTTGAGTCTTTTATCCTCAATTTCAATGTAGTTTCCAGTACGACGGCCCAGGGACACATAATTATACTCTAGTGTTAAAGTAATTATGGTCTGGGCTATTTCGTGATTCTGGCAACGAATCTCTTACGCCGCAAACATCATGCAGAAAATAAATCTGTACACAAAAGCCTAGTATATTCATGGTCAGAATGACCTACTGAGTGTACTTGAATTGGTTGATGACCGTGAACTAACGACATGGATACGATAAGGGCTGACCCTTCACTGTCAAAAACAATCATGGTCAAGTTGGCAACATTTACATGATACTAATCTACCAAACCAAACCCACACGTCATTGTTACAATGGACATCGAAGGCAAAGTTGCTTTGATCACGGGGGCTGGGCAAGTTGAAGGAATTGGTTATGCCATAGCACAGGAACTGCTCAGGAAGAATGCTAAGGTAAATCCTACAATTTAGAGACAATGAACGTCCGAATACTTCAGTGCTGATCCATGAGAAATAATTTGACTGAGGGAGAAAATACTAAAATTTCAACATTAGTTAGACTATATGTATTTGCCGTAATTATTGATTTAGGATGCACACTATACAATAACATTTCGTAATTCCAGGGTGTAGCCATATTGGATATTCACGATGGAATGGGACAAGATGCAAAGAACGAATTGCAGAAACAGTTCAGAAAAGCAGTAGTTATATATGTACACTGTGACGTCAGTTCAAAGTCAAGTCTGGAGGGTATTTTATTTATATACTATGAAATACAAGATATAGCTTGGCCTTGCGTTTGGTGTCATGTTTTGTCCTTAACGTTCCTAATTCTGTAGTTTAAGTTGAGTAAATAATAGGTGCTTGATTATCTACTTGTGATATCGATCTGCGAGAAGTGCCCACCCCGCCTCCCATTATTCAAATCATGTTTGCACATTGAGATAAAATGTCACTTTATTTAAAACAATATTTGTTAACATGAGCATTCGTTATGACGTTTGTTTCACATTGATGAATTCGTTAAAATATTCACAGTATTTCCTTGTTTAAAACTTGAATTTCACAATAAAGTAATATTATATTTATATAAAATGTTACAATTGCCAAACAGACAGAACCAGTGCAATGGGAAGAACAACAACGTTAATTACGTAGAGACAACAAAAACTTCTAATATAATAAACATAAGATTATACACATATATTGGTTGAAATGACCTTTGGTAATCTTGATTGTAATTGGTCCATTAATAACGCTAACGACCAAGCCGTGTAGGTTGGAAAACGTGATTTTAGTTTCCGATAAAAGTACTGGTCGAAGCAATGTTTTACAATTCAACCAATCACGTGACTTCCATTCATGATTATGGTGATACATCCAATATGCAAATTAATTTGGCAATTGCTCGCGGTCATGCGTGTAATACTGCCGCAGTAAATGCCTATTAAATTACGTGTAAATACAAGGTATTATTTAATTACTTCCTATTTCAAATATTTCTAATTCATGAAGTTTTGTTATTTTCATAGAAGCATTTGAAAAAGTGAAAACCCATTTTGGTAGACTGGACATTGTATGCAATAATGCTGGAATTCTGAATGAAGACAACTGGGAGCTAACTCTAAACATTAATCTGGTACAGTTATTTATTTATGAGTTTGGATGTGAAGTCAATACACATGTATTAAGAAATCGAAATAACCGTATATGTATATATTGTTTGTTATCTATTAGATGGGTACCATCAGAGGCACATATCTGGCGCTTGAGCACATGGGAGTAAACTATGGTGGCAGCGGTGGGGTCGTTATTAACACAGCATCTACCGCCGGTGAGTGTGAGTGCTGGAGGTACATTTGTGTGGGGCTTTCGGCTAATTGAAGTTGTCCCAATCACAGCAACCGCGATGCAATCGCAATCGCAATTACAATTCAAATCAAATAAAACTATGTATATGATGACTTGCGTACATATACGTGAAGTCCTAGTGACGACTAACTGTGTATCTGTCTTACTCATACATTGAGTTAATATGCAAATTATAGTTCACATTTTCCCCTGGATTACGTTGAATGTAAATATATATATATTATCTGCATGTTGATAATCACCGCGATAAATTCTGAAATAACAAACAATATTTTAGGTTTCTTGACTATTTATTATTTCAATTCCAAGATTTTAATAATTTAAATTGAAAATCCCCGGCACATTTTATTACAACGAGTTAATGATGTATGTTTCATGCCACCCAAATGAAACAGATTGTAACATAATCATATTATTATTTCCCATGCATAGGTGTCATGACAACTTCTCTTTTATCAGTATATGGTGCTACCAAACACGCGATAGTGGCATTCACGCGTAATGTTGCAGTAAGAGTATTTACAAACTTCTTTGTGTAATAATGTATACACGTGTTTGAGATATTGTGCCATTTAGAAAACAATGAACACAAATGAGCGTCATGTAATTATATCAGTCATAGTAAACACATTGGTTTCCACAGGTAACTAGATATTAGAATGGTAATTATACACTAACAAGAACACTTTATATTTCATTTCGTCATCGATTTGACACGTCTTGGATAAATAAATGAAGCCATATGTTATGATTTAATAGAGAGGTGCATTGGCGTCGTGAGGAATATCTAATAGCGCCATCACCGACAAAGAACGATCTCCTCTTTTTTTTTAATGTTCACGTTCCACTGAAAGACTATACAATTATATTATTAAACTACGCACGTACCATTTTTATGTATTTTTAAAATGACATTTTCACCATCTTTTTCATAGGATAACAATAAGTTTAAGAAAAATAAAGTTCGCGTGTCAGCCATCTGTCCTGCGAAAGTAGATACACCGATACAAGATTTCGACAGAACCATGATTCCCGATTTTGAAGAATTCAAATACTAAATGATTCATTTGCATGGACACCGTAAGATTTCTTTATTATGATTTAGATTATTTTCTAGCGATAATTTGTTTTTATTGACACGCATTTTAATGTCAATTACCATATATCTTAGCATATTAGTGACAGCAATTTATTACTAATTATTTTTTCTCCAGGAAATCACACATCACAGACACCGTGGTAAAGCTGATTGAGAACGCTGAATATAATGGTACCATATGTGCTGTACTACCAGATGACCCGATGAAGATTATTGAACCTCAAACATTAAAATTAGTTTAACATAAAACTGTATCATCTGGTTGGATCTCAATTTATATTCACATCCAGGTACATTTCATACAAACAATGATATTTTGACATGCATTTTTATTCACTTGTTTTATATAAAAAATGAACGTGTAATACAAGAATTAAATATTGATTTATTCACAACTTCATTATGTTATTAGTTATTGCTCAGGACGTTATCAAATATAATCTCTTGGTAATAATGTCTAGTCCGTTTCACGAAACCATGAACAGCTTTGACGAAAATGAATGAAATATTTATGAAATATTTATAAAAAAAATGCCAAGTTAAAACGCTTTTTCTACATTAGAAATCAACGGAAGATTATTTCATTGGCCACAAAAGCCAATCGGTACAGCTAGTTTTTGCAGGTTTCTTTAATCACTTGTCGATTTACTGACACATATACGAAATATATTATATTGTAAAGATGTATAATAA